AAAAGACATGTAGATGAGGCGCTTAGGGATATGGTTTAGTGGGCATGGTGGTGTTGGGTTGACGGTTGGACTCGATGATCTTAGAGGTCTCTTCCAACCTTAATGATTCTATGATCCTATGATTCTATGAAAATAGAACAAAAATAGACCATAGAACAGAATAGAACAAAAATGACCATTCCTTTCTAAGAAGGAATGAGTGTTTTGGTGGAAATTATGAAAAAGGTGAATAAATATCATTACACACATCACTACCAGGTATAAATAAGATCACTGAAGTTAGGATTTTGGTTGATTTATCATGGAAGATATATGAAATTAAAGTACGTCTTAGGTAAATAATTTTTACAAATAAAGCATAGAAAATTCTATAGGAAAAGGTAAGAAGTGTTTTAATAGTACACCCACCTGGTTTTGTCAGTCTGAGGAGATTTGATTCAAGAGCACTTAGATTTTCTGTTGCTTTTTCCATTGCAGCTAAATGGGATGTCTTTGCAGAAGTGGTCTGAAATATCCAATACTTATTTATGAAAACTTAGCTTTTACCTAACTAAAACCACCAGGTCAACAGTGGAGTTTAGGTTAGATCCCAAGACTTCTAATTCTATACCTGATAATTTCATCAATACTGTCTTATTTTTCTTTTCAGGTAAAATAAAATGGATGTTCATAGACTTTTTAGTACGGCTTCAAAAACCTGGCCATGATTCATTCTTGATTGATCTCCAAGGGAGTGAGTGGAGTTGCTCTGCCACCAAATAAATTTTTAGGGAAGTCCCACATGCTACTACAACAACATATTTGAACAGATTGTTTGACAAAATATGTTGTTTTCCAGAAAAAATAATATTTTGTAGATTATTTACTGCCTACAGAAATAAAAATCTTCCTCTGGAAAGAAAGTTCCTTTTTTTCACTTCGGTGAAAATGTAATTTTCAGTCAGCCCTACTTGGCTCAAGATACTATATTGTTCCTATGATCTTAGATTCCTTTCTCTTTTTTGGTATGAACCTGGGAGCAGCTAACACAAACTCAGCAATAAACAATGGAGAAAATTTTGTCCTGGATCCTATCAGTGTCCTACAAATTTTCTTACACAAATCCTTCCCTGTAAGCTGATTGACTTTTTGTCCCTCTCTTTAATATATCTCAGTTTCATGCTCACGCTGCTTCCTTTCTTCCTCTCTCATTATTCCTCCTTTCTTACCTCTTTTTCAAATCTCCTCTCCAGTAAAATCTCTTCTAAAATTATTTAAAGAAAAAAACAGACAGAAAAGTATGGAGAATCAACACTTTACTCTGATTCTAAGTTGTAGGAAATCCTCACAACCTGCTGCACCTCTTTGTAATTTAAGTATTAAGGTCTTTGAGGTTGAAAGTTCTTCCTCCATTGAAAAATATTTTTCAGTCTACACAATTCCCAAGTTACTCTCTTATTATGACTCAGTTTGAAGCAGCTGCTACACAGAATGAGAGGCTAAGTTTCTACATTATTTAGGATTTTTTTGCTCTTCTTTACTGATACAATTCTTTAATTATTTTTTCTGTCTAATAAAGCATTATGTGAAGATCAGTTAGGGATGCTTGTATAAATATCTGCAGGATCGTCATGGCTCTGAACTGTAATATTGCTAACCCCTCTCCAGTTCAACAAGATGAGACCCTGTACCCACTGCAATCTGCAACTGGTCTTAACAAAGATGGCTACAATTAAACAGAAGCCTCTCAGCTGTACTTTGGGAAACTCTTATTCTACAAGAAAACTCTTATTCCATAGAATCACTTCTAAAACAAAAAGTTAATAAATGTTGTCTTCAAAATGATAGAATACAGTATTTAGAGAAAAGAAAAAGTAAAAATCAGAGCAATTACTTTAACTTCTTTGTTAGTGTGTATTTCTTCAGTTTTCATAGCTCCTGACAGGCAGGGTGAGGTTGTTGGCGAGGAATCCAACAATTTTTTCCCATAGTTAACAATAATTACTGCTAGTTCATATTCTTTCCATGAACGTAGTACCTATTAAAGAATCATCTGTTATACATTTTTGTTTTGCATAACATGTAATGTTTCATTATTGTCTACTTGTAATTGTCAAAATGCATGAATATTACAAATAGAAATTAATTACTCAATACTTAAGTTTCCTTTCATAAAAAAAACAGGACTATAGACCTGTAAAATAATTGAAATTGCAGGTATGTTGTCTATGTGTTCTGCTTAACCTATTCCTCAGAGAATAGAAAGATTTAACCAGAAGTATCTATTGCTGTGATTGACATTCTCCCTGCTCTTAGGCAATATTGCTATCAAAGAATATAAAGGGTAACTAAATGATCCTCATTTACCTCTCTGGTATTAAGTGCACATTTGAAAATCCCAACTGTATTAGCGAAAGGAGTGGTGAAATTTATTTTTAAAATTATGGAATTTATGAATGAACAGTGTAGGGAGTGTTTTTAGATGGCTTTATCTTCTTTAGATAGAGCTCTAAAGGCCAAAGTGCTTCTACTATATGCAAGGTAACTTCACGTTAGGATGTTTGTCTTTGGGATACAAAATAAGTGTATGGATTACTTAAGGATAAATACAGTTCATGGCCTGACTGTAACTCGACAGAAAACCATATACCATGGATTAATCAAAAGTATTTTCAATTCACTCATTCTGTTTGCTATTCTGTTGAAATGCTATCTGTAAGGAAAAAAACAAATCAGCAGTACAAGCAGACAGTCATTTAGCTGGGGAATCCAACACCAAACAAACACTATATCAAGGTTTCAAGAATCTTAATGGGCTTTATTGGCCTTGATAGCCTCCACCTGGGCCCTCCCCCCATGGGGCCAGGAGCTCCCTTTCAGCTCAGGCCTGAGCCTACAGTCCCTGCCAGCTCCGGTCTCCAGCGTGCTCCAAGCCATGCCTGGGCCTGGCAATGGATCCACTGGTCTGGACACCTGACCCATGGACTGACTCCTCAGCTTGACCTCAGACTGCTCCCATCACAATGGACCAGCCTGCTGGGCTGTGTCTGACCGTAGTTACCCTAACCAGACCTGATCCTGACCTGCAGATTGACTTCCCAGCTTCAGCTCAGACCTGCCTCATCACCACAAACTCACCCGATGATCTGGACTCCTGGTTGAACCTGACTGCCAGGTGCTGCCCTGCCGGCCGTGGCATTGCCCTCGGCTCCTGGCTCCCCAGCCCTCGCTGTGCCCTGACCCTGCCCTCACAGCCATGAAATAATTGATTAATACAAAGGAAATGACAACACTAAGGCTTAAAATACTCATCTTTATAGAAAGAATGAAAACTGGGTCTCCTTGCAGTGCACTTTTAAGGATATTTGACACTGATTTGGTCTTGTGAGGTAAGCACAGAGATCCAGCTCCTATAAAGACCGGTGTGAAGGATCACCAACACAGGGGAATCCCTCAAAGCATCAGCCACAGCTCAGCTTCAGTATGAGCCCTTAGCTGAGGTGTACTCAAAGCTAGAGGAAAGCTGACTTTTTCAGCATCATACATTTATCATGGTGGGTACTTAACTCTAGCCTGTCTCTATACCTGAAGAAAAAAATCCTACTGGTACCACATTTCTCTTTATCGCACTAAATAGATTGAGTATCTGAATCATAAATGTGATCTACGGATATGTATTATGGTTAAAAGTCAAGGTGTTTATGTTCCTGCCAGCATGTGGAACTAAATAGTGTAAAGTCTCTTGTATCTAATTAGCAAATAAGCCAGACATGCTAATCTGATTAAAACTACAAATATGGCCTATTTGCACTAAATAAACATCTAAATTTATACATTACATATAGGCCTTATTGAAAATAGTACTACCTTAAATGTAAAAATACACACAATGATATAAAATACAGATTTCATGTCGTGGACTAACAGTTACAGTCTATTTTCTGAAGAAATGAAAATTCTCAATTCTACTAAAAAGTCAGAATGTCATTATTATATAAAATGTACTGATACAAAGATACTAATAAGTATTTCTATACCTTTACTATTTAAGAGTGCCAGTTCTCTAAGACATCACTCTGAAGGCCAGCTTACTAAATCTTTTTTTCCTCTAGATGACAAGAGCTATATCTTAAACTAAGCTGTAAGCACAATAATACACAACATACCTTTGCTGTATAAAATGAAGTACAAGCTATCATATGCTGAATACTCTCATAACATCCTGCCTGCCTCCTCTGCAAAGTAGCACTTGGAATTTCTTGAAGGACAGCCAAGCACTTAATGAGGATCTGTAAATACAAGGGTTAAATCAAAGTTTGTAGTCTGCAACACACTTAGAGCTTGTACCTCTGTACAGCCTATTGTATTTAATGGTGAACTTTACAAATACTTTGAAATCTAATGGATAGTATGAAATGCTAGCTCTACAAAAGCCAATAATAAAATTTCCATTGAATTTAACGGTGTCAAGATTTCAACCACAGCCCTTTGGAATAAACGACATGTTCACATAGAATCACAGATACTAAATTACAGATACATGATGGATATTTTTGCTGATTTAATTAACATGAAATCAAAGAATGCTTAGTTCAGTGAGATGACATACTCCTAGTAGAGGACTGCTTAAAAATATATTGAGCTGGTCAGAATTTTAAATGAAAGACAAATGTTTCCAGTATGCTTTAAAAATAAAAGACGTTTTTCCCCCATTTTTGTCTATCAGACATGAAAAGGACATGCAACTAAATTATTTTTCCCTTTAATTAGGAAATCTGAAACAGAAGCCATTTCTAGTGGCTAGCTGCGCCTTTAGTAGGTCATCACAGCCAACAACTTCTTAAGCAAGAGGCTATCCCTGCGTGTAAACAGATTTTTTTTTTTTCTAAACACTCCTAAAAACTTCTCAGGACCCTGAGTGCCCCAATAGTCATTCCCTGAGCAGCCTCACTTGGGGCCTCCTCTCACACCTTCTGCCCAGGGGCCCAGGAGTCCCAAGTAAGCTCAGACACAAGCCTTCAGTCCCTGCTTGATCGATGGTACTGTTGTGCTGGTCTTCAGTTCTGTCTCCTGGATGGACCTTGGACCTGTGTTGTAGCCTTGTCTCCAGTCTCTGGCTCCAACTCCTGCAGCTCCCAACTTTTTCTCCTGGATGGACCCTGGGCCAGCCCAATAACTTCACGTTCTCTGGACTCTCAGTGGATCCTCTTACCAACACCCTGCTCTGTCTGCCATGTTCAGATGCTGCTAGTCTGTGCCTTGCCTGCACTGCAGTCACCTCATCCTTCCTCATAGAGCGAACATGCTATTACTGCTGCCGCCTGACAAAACTACCTAATTACAGGAAAAAAGTTGCATGTTTCTCTTGTATCCTTGCTGAATCTACAAAACATGTCTGCTGCTTTGGAAATGGAAGGAAAGAATTCAGGTACTCTGTTTTCAAAGAGAAGGTGCTTGCTTCTGGAAAGGAGCATATGCCTGAAAACGAAAGACTGCATTACCAAAACATTGTATAGCCTTCTTTTTTTAAGCAGAGAGAACTGTGTATGAAGCAAACATTCCAAAAAAAAAAAAGCCATAGGCAAATGCTGCTTTTCTTTCCTCAAAATTGCCATCTGCAAGTAGCATTCAAGAAGAAGTTACATCATAGATTCTACTATAGTTTAAAAATACCAACAAATCATCCCAAAGAAACAATCAATATTCTGCAGTTTCTTTAGCATCTCTGAGAGCAGAATCTGTGCAGCTTACACTGAACATATATGCATTGGGAACACATAAAACCATAAAAGGCTTTTCTCTGAGCAGCTACTAAGAACTCGAAGCCTAGATATTTAGCTCTCCCACTGTACACTCCACTATAAGTTTAATTTTAATCGCTATAACTGCAGGACTTGGATGCCAGCTGCTTTGTCTTAAAATGCTCTCACCTGAACTACTGGCACTGAAGAAATCTTGTGATAAATAATTGGAGCAAGGAGACCATAACATTGTACAACAGACTGCAGGGTGTAATTTGCATCATTCAACCAATTGCTAAGTTCAATTGCCACAGTCATTCTTTTACATTCTGCTAATCTAGCAACCTGTAAAAGAAAAACACATTTTGATTCAAATATGAATTCTGTTGTTTTAAATCATTTGAGAGTGAAAGAAGACAGATGTTATTGCAGTTTAAAAAGCAGTGTAAGCAGCAAATAAGAGTTTAAAAATTAATTTACATTGACACCTGTTAGAAGTATATCAACAAATGCAACATTATTCATGATTCTAAAGGAAACAATTGTTCGTGACCTAATTGTGCCCTCTGAATTTACCCATATAATTTACAAACCCTGGTTAACAACCTCAATCTCCATTCCATGAGGAGCGGAATTTCACATGCTAACCTTTCAGAGTAGGTAAGGGGAGGATAAAAATCCCTTCCTTTCCCTTCCAGTTATCTGCTGCAGTCCTTGCATGGGTGAGCAGATCCAGTAAAGTCATTGAGTGATCGACTGCTCACATTTTTACGAGACAAGTACTTCAGCAAAGAGAGAGTGGAATAGGAATTTAATAATACAGGAGGAAAAGCTTGACTATCCAAATAAAAAATAAAGGTTTTTTGTGTCATTAACATGCCATTATACTATAAGAAAGTCTGAAATAAGACAAAAGAAGCTTAGTGTATTAAAACCATGAAACCCTGTTAGAAGTTCAATATTAATGAAAATGTATGTATTAAACAGTAGAAATGTTTGAAATTAAAAATCCAAGGTGCATCTTAGTAGGACAAAAATAACAGTGATTACACTTATTTCTTAAATTATAGTCTACCACCACTGAAGTCAAGGAAAATCCTTCCTCAGTTGGAATCACTGGGCTTTGGATTAGGCAATAACTGAATCAGAAACCATCTTTTCACCAGGATACAAAATAACCAACAGCTACTAAAATACTTCAGAAAGGAAGACCAGGTAACTCACAGAAAATTAAGTGTTCTGTAAATAGGATTAGAACATTGCAACATTTATCTTGCAATGATAAATAAAGCTGGTCAAAAAGTAAAATCAAATCCAATATATTATTTTAAGCCACACATACTTGTTCCTTATAAAGTATCTCATTGGAACAGATGGAATCACAGAAGAGTGCTCCTTCCATGACATTAATGTCACAGACAGCAAATATATTCCTCAGAAAGAGGTGCAAGGTAATAGAAGAAGTCTGAGATACAGCTTCAAAACGTAACCTACAAAATAAAAAAGCAAAAGAATGGTAAAAGCATGTTAATGATAATTCAGATATTGCATGCCTGAAACTACATTATATTAAAATGCAGTCTTTAATTTTAAAATGATGGACAAAAAGGATTACTGTAGCTACTTCTGGAAATAAGATTTATACATAAAACTGAAAAAACTGGTTAAAATTTCTAACATGAAAAATAAATACAAGGGATAAGACTCCTTTTCAAATTGTTGTCCACCTTCTAGTATCCTAAGACAGCTTTTCCTTAGTTGTTTCACCTAATCCAGTGAAACTTACTTTGAACTTTCTTTGAAAACTTGGGATGCTACAGCTTATTTATTTTAACTGACTTCTTTTACACATTATTTTTCTGTATTCTGACAATGACGCATGCAGTTGTGAAGTCCATTACTAAGTATTAGTAACAGACTCCTTTTCATCACTGATGTCTTGTATTACAAATCTCAAAAGAATCTCTTTTCTTCTGCCTGCTTTTTTGTTTTGTTTTGTTTTTCTTCTCTGGAGGTAGGGGGGCATTTGTCCTTGTTATATTTTTTAAATATTTTTGTTACAGGAAAAATCCTATGATTTTGAAGTATAAGAAATAAATTCCTCCTTGTCCTCGACTGTATTTCCTGAAAGAGACTGAAACTCAAGAAGGAAGATCAAATAGATACATTCACATACTTGACATTACCAAGACATCAGCAGGGCTTCCGGCTGGAAACAAGAGGTTTCCTTTCCTTCCAGCTCCCCCTACCGTCTCTTTAAGTCCTACATACTCTCAAGCTATTCCATCTAATTTCTTAGCTACCGATCAGTAAAACTGAAACTGTCTTATTTCAGATCCAATACTGCAGCTTTGAGACTCTTCCATATTAATTGCAAAAAAAAAAAAATTAGGCTTGGACATAACTGTCAGAAAAGCAAAATCCCTGAAACTGCTTTGCACAGCTATTTAACATTTTCTGTCTTCATTTAATTTATCTGAAAGTAGCTTCATACAAATGTTATCTCTAGAGCTGTATGTGTTTTAAAAAAAAAAAAAAAAAACTGATTAGGAAAAAATTGGGCACATGGGGTCACTGCCAACAGCGACCAGCGATAGATTTAAAACATCCACATACTCATGAAATAGGATGTCTAGTGATTATCTGCCTGCATCAATGCAGTCCACAGACTGCCTGTAAATCCCAAATGCTCTTACGGCATGTAACGTCAAGACCCTTGGTCAATTTGTATGCCAAGTATCAGACACACGGTGGCACTTGAAGGACAGACAGGATACACACCAGTGGTCTGGCTGAGCCCCAAATAACAAGAACTACGCTTAGACACATTACTTTCTCCTGTAACAGGATTCAAAGCACACACAAGCCTACACTACCTGCTTGCATCCGAACAGCATTACCGTGAGAAAACCGTGGGCTCTGATGCAAGTATATGAAAACAATATAGAGAAAATGCTAGCTACATTGTATGTCTCAGAAAAGCTGATTACTGGTTATTCTGTCTATAAAATGGAAATGCAAGTATTCTGAAAAAACTTTTAGGAAATCCCCCTAATATCTATTTCTTGAAACAAAGATCTTTATTTCTTTATTTCTTCTTTAATTCTTGAAACATTCAAGAACTATTAACACACATGCAATAAGGTTGCTTCTTGTCATTATGGTTTCAAGACTAAGCCAGTCTGTTAAACTGAAACAGAGATGCTGCAAACCTTTTTCGTACCTCCTCCACAAGTTTGCCAAAACTTTCCTAATGAAAGAATTAGTCTAAAAAGAATTCCACACTAATGAAGATGATGATTTGTATTCAGCTATACTGGATGTTAATTCATTATCAAATTATAAGCAGTTGACTAACATTTAAAACTATTATTTTTTATTCTACTATTTCATGTCTATTATTTCATACAAGTCTCTCTCTTTTATCTGGGAATTAAGTTTTGATTTATTTTTGCATTTGGCTCTATTGAATTTCAGTGAATGTAACCGCAAAATTTCTAGCTGGGCTTTGTCATCATGAAAAACCTTTAATATTATGGTTGAACATTTGAAATTTATGTATAAATGAATTAATTTTAAATATCTCTTCTAAAGCACTTTAGTATATTCAAAGATTATTGGCAGATTTATATAGCCACCCCAAAACAAAATTAGCAAGCATTTACCCATTTTGGGTGGTGTTCTTGACAAAATTTTCATACTTTCTAAACTCTACTGCTCCCTTAATTGGAAAGTCAAGAACCCAGTACATATTACATATTTTGCATGTGAAAATGCATCACACAGAATTAATAGCCACTTTATAAATGTTTCCCAGTTATCTTAATGAAACAATCATTATAAAAAATTAGGTGTGTAAATACTAGCAGTTCCATAAATTAAAAAAATCCTCTGCTAATTATAAAATGCTATATTTTTATAACACATTTCACACATATTTTTTTCAGAATGTTTTTCATATCGCAAGTCTGAACAAAATTTCACAACCTGGTACTCTTTAAAATAAAATGTGCACATCTATAATTAACTATTATTTTAATTTTGTTTTCGCCAGTTACCTGTTTTCAGATATAGTCAAATTACTACTTGCAGAAATAACAGCTGCATTGGCAGGCAGTGGAGAAGAATTTGAAACAAAATAATCCCACACTGGTGAAAATGCTTCTCTGGCTAATGTATAGTTGCCAGTCTGATAGGCTACCTACAAAAAAAAACAACAACAAAAAAAATTTAGCAAGTTTCCACGTTCATCAAATAACCAAGCCAAATGTGATTATGGTATAATGAAAGGTTTTAACATTCCCCCCCAACATGTAAATTTACCATTTCTGTAAGAATATTCCGACATATTTGAATAAAACACATGTAATAGCAATCTGATTCTACTAATATTAGTTTGCCTTCAGGATTAGCATCAGAGAAGGCAAAAGAGTTTCCTGACTGTTAACCAAGGATCTAACAGCCCTTTGTGGAGTACTTTACAGGTATTGTGCTGCAGGTTTTGAAGGCATATTATTTCATCTAGGTTCATTTTACTTTTGCTAATACTGCAGAATGCCCTGCTGCTCCGGATAATGGGATGTAAACGGAGCCGCACAAGTAGGCATAAATTTATGTGGATACTTCTTACTCTGGAAGATTTTAGGAAATCTTCTAACTGTTCCCCATGATCTGATCTATAGGGCTAGACAATTTCACTTTTCTCCCTACCACAATCTGTTTTAAATTTTCTTTATGAAGAATACAGAAAATTATGATAAAGCTCTGACAGAGCCTTTGTGGTCTTCCACAAGACACTACAAAAATAATTTCAATGTGAAAATGGTTGGATTTGATACCTGGTAAATTCAATCATATTTTTCATCCCATACTGTAATGACTAATAAGATGATTTCTAGCACTTGGTCTCAATCACAAAAATAAAAAAATAAATTATAAAAAAGAAGAAAGGAGTTAAATGCACACTGAAAAACAGGAACAGGGATAAGAAAACTAGCTGAGAGATATCTTTCCCCTTAAACTGGAATTTCCAATAATTTTGAATTACGAATTGAGTTACTCAAATATACCATTTGTTATGTTAAAATTGTGATTTGTGCTTATAAAGCTTTTGGCAAGAAGGTCTTAAGTTTTTACCAGAAGAAGTTTTAGAGCTACCAGTGAGAACAAGTAATTACAACCAAATTAAAGTATGTGTTTATTATCAAAGGCTCTAACCCTACCTGAGTTAGATAGGCTCGAACAGTAGTAGCAGAAATAGGTGGATAAGCAAGGATTGGTTTAGTCGTTTCTCCAATGGCATCACCAATAAGTTTTCCATCAGAAGAATATGCTGCGACTGCAAATATGTATTTCTCATTGGGATCTAAGCCTTTTATTTCCAAGAGGCTTTTCCCATCAGCTGGTATCTATCAATAAAAGTATTTTCTAGTTACACCAACTGTACATAACAAAAACAAATCTCAATTTCTAAACTTTTATTGTTAAATAAATTATTTAACAGTCTTGGATACAATCAAAGTACAACCTAGATTAACAGACATGTCATATTTCCACGTAATATTAGGTTCTTGAAGACAATGAGAAAACAATGAAATGACAGGGGAAAAAAGTACCCATTTTCTCTGGAATGCAGTTGAGTATACAGAGTACATAACCTAAGAAAACAGTTAAGTACCAGGACCTGGAGTTTCTCTAAGACATTTTTGTCCATTTGCACATTCACACTGTGAGTGTGCACGCTTGCAGTCATTGAGCTGGAAACATTCTGGCCCCGAGCTGTGCTTCCAGAGAAAGAGCATATTAGCTCTCCTCCATACATGCCACGTGCATGTATTAGATATGGGCAGAGGATGTCTCAGGTCCTCTCAGCACCATTAACAGGACTTTGGAGTTTGTGAAACAAACAACATGTTTTCAAGATCTTCTCTTCATTTTTCCTTCAAGTAATTGTCCACCTGCACTTTAACATCACGGCTCACTCCTAACAGGCCTTTCCACCTTCCCCTCCATAACCAGGACAACTTACACAAAGGAAAGTTTTAGGGTCTTGAAACAGCAAACAACTGACACAGTGACTAAAGCACAACATGAGAAACAAGATCATTGTAATGTATCATCAACACAGTGCTCTTATTCACATACTGTCTGGCCTTCATAAGGAGACCTCTGAACAACAGAAATCCCTTCAAATGCTGGGGCTGAATCCTGAACCAGCAGACCAGAAATTAGTGTAAGACAGTCTAAAGGGATACTACATCCCTTTAGAGCAAGCTTTTCTCATGTTGATAAGTTGATATGGTGCCACCACCAAGAATGCTAAACCTTTTCCATGGAGCAGGCAGATAGTGACTTTGCCTGCAGATCAGCATTTTGCAAAAGCATATCCTAAAGCAACCAGAAGTTCCATTGCTGAGACATATGGTTAACCTTAGGTCTGTGCATCTCTAGTGCCTGCCAGAGCTAAGACAGTCAGTGGCTTGGATGGACTGCAGCAAGTTCACAGAAAGACAGCAAGCAGTGGGGTGACAGTCTCCAATGAAACACTTAATTCACCTGGAGCAGGATAGTATATTGAAATTAGCTCACTGGACATTGCAGGAAGCTTGATTCTCTGGATTTGATAATAAGAATATCAAGAATAACATCAAAGCCTCTACTGCCAGCAGCTACACACACCTTCTCTTTTTATACACTTTCCTTTTTAGGGAGGATATAGGGGGAACAGGCGCAAAGGGAAAGATTTCCTCTCCATCACCAAAGACAAGTCTATCAGTGTTATTACAGAGCTTGCTCACAAAACCAGGAAATCTAGAAGCATTGGGCAAAAGAGGTTGAGATCATTTTTCTGTCACAATGCAAAACAGAGACCTGCCCTGCAAAGAACAGAATTCTTAATGAAGATTTCCAGACATAAAAATGATCGCTCAGATCTGAGACTACAGTAAAATTTGCTGAAGAGAATGTGCTGAAGCCTTTTTGCCCCTTTCTTAAAACCCAGGATGCAGAGTATTTGGATGGATCACGGTCGTCATTCAGGTGGACAGTGTAATAGCATGCATAAGTAAGTGAAAAACAGAACTCTGTGCAGTCCGTGCAGGAACATCAGAGTGTGATCCAAAGGAAAACACTACACTAACACAAAACAAAAAAACCCAAAACAAATTCAGAAAATAAAACATCAAATTGTAATGAAGGAATAATATAAAAGAGTACTGACACAGTCACATGATCAGTCATAAGTAATCAAAGATGTGTGGGATGATTTGTCATACCACATGTTCACAGCATGAAAGGGAAAGCGCATGAACCTAGAAGTCAATCATGTCTGAACATGAAGGTTATTATCATGTTGCCAGAATTAAGTAAGGTAAGGTCTTGTTAAGAAGAAATAGTTGATAGAAGTTACACAATTAAGAAAAATATTAAACTTTATATCTATTTAGAATTTCTCTTTTTTTGAATCCCTGGAAAGAGTAGTGTCTGAGGCACACTCTATAAATACATCATATACTTTCTTTTCCTTTTGTACTTCTTAGAAGTTGCTCAAAAAACAGAGTTATAACAGAAAGGACTGAGACTTGTCTAACATGAAGCTTTTGAATCATTTAATTCATTATTCAAAAAAGGTTCCTAGAATTTTTTTTGGTTTTTGGTATGCCTTCAGCCTAGCAAAATTTCAATTGCTTAAAATAAAGATCAAAAGGTTTGCCAAAGGCTTGGCCAGTTACCGGATTAAAAAAAGATGTCAGATGATGTCAGATGTATACATTTAGAAAGTTGTTTTTTTTAAAGGAAGAGAGAATGACCTAAAGGAGTTTTAACTCTGTCTTACCTCTTCTCCTGCATTTGGAAGTTTATTGTTATTTAACCTTACTTTCATATTACTTCCTCCTGCTACACAGCCCAAAATACTGTACCATGAAACCTTTGAAGAAAATGAGAACAAAATGAGTTAATACATAATAGTATTTCCAACCTTTGCGTAATGTGGAATGTACTAATTTTGTGAAAACAATCTCTGAAAAAAAAACCTTAGTTATAAAAATGTATAGTCTAACTACACTAGAAACATTAATTAATTGATTTAGCTGAAGAACTAGATAGACTACAATGGCAATAAAAGCAGATGATTCTCCATTATCCCATCTCCTACCTTGAGCTACCCTATACCTCAAACCTATCCCAAAGCATAAACTCTGTAGGTCATCCTGTAGATTTAAAGTCATCTAGATCCCTTATTTGATCCTTGCAATGGTATTCTTCTAAAGTTGACATCAGGTTCTGATTCAGCAAACTACTTGAGGACAGATCCTTAAAAGCAGGCAACAGAAATGCAGATATGAAGTAATGCACTAATATTTTCTAAATAAGCCATGTTCTTAGTTCCTATTGAAATCAATGCTCTTTTAATGCCATCAAGCTGCTGATGATCTCATTGGGCATATCATCTACACTTTTCAGTATCTTTAACCAAGGAAGAATGTGAGCATGCATTCCTGGATCAGTGCTCAGCCGTGTCCACTGAGATCAAACATGGAAATTAATTTTGATTTCATCTCTGCAGAACTGGGCAGATGGATTTCAGTAAGTTATGCATCTGATGAAGTTCTCTTGCATTAAACTTCTTCTACTAAAAACTGTACGAAGTCTATTTACTTTCAGTAGACATTTAAACAGGCCTGAGGTTTGGCAGATGAGGTCATTTTTCAACATATAAAAATTCTGTGCAGCTAAAATGTTCATTTTTCTTGTAATACACATAATTTGTCTTGCAATGAATCCTGACTGTCTTTCAGAAGGCGATATTGAAATAGAGGAGGTTATTTTCAGCAAGTGAGCAACTTTAAGATCAGGAAATTTTAGAGATACTTTGACTTCTAGTACAAGAACTATACATGTCTAATTAAATCCTAAGTATCCATTTCCAATTAATAAGTTCTTCATAAACAATACCTTTCATGTCCACTCAACAGCTATGCGTATCTTTCGAAAAGAAATTCTAGGATATCTGGGCTCAAATTAGAAGAATAATAATCACATTGCACCACCTAGTGGCCCAATATGTTACATTCACTCTCCTGTATCAAACGAAGTATTAACACATACTAAACCAGATGAACTACCAGACTTTAAAGAATTTATTTTTATGTTCATTAGGGATAAAAAGGAAGAACTTTTTCCTCATTAATTTCTTTGAAATTCACTAATCAAACTGCAATAAAACTGCAAGTTATAAAACAACTGTTCACAGAAACATTCTTACCACTATTAAAAAGAGTTGAGTTTCTACTGGTTTTATACAAATTGTTATTTTGAAGAAGCTTGCAAAGTCACTATAAAAATTTCTCTCTCAAGAAGACTGCAGCTAGTGAATTCTTCATACCTAAATTCTTCAGCCTGTTTGAACCCTTTCTGGACATATGAAGGAGAATAAGGTGATTTAGAACAGTCAGCATGGATTTACCAATGGCAAATGATGGCTCACCGCCATGATTGGCCTCTGTGACAAAATGATTTGCAGAAGAGGGGGGGGGAGTAGATGCCATTTACCTCGACCTTGGCATGGCATTTTTTTCAACACTGTCTCCCAGTATTCTTATATCCAAGTTAGGATGATACGGTATGGGGGGTGTGAACAGATAAATGGGTAAAACAATGGTTAGAAGGTCAGACTCAGAGAGTAGTTGTTAATGGTTCGTACTCTACCTGGAGGGTGGTAACATGTGGAGCACTGCAGGGGACTATCCTGGGACCTGTCCTGTTTAATATCTTCAGCAATGACCTGAGGAAAAAAGTGAGCACACACCCACCAGGTTTGCAGATGATGCCAAACTGAGGGAAACAGTTGATATTGTTGAGTGCGGGATTGCTAATCAGAGGGACCTAGAGAGCCCAGAGGAATGGGCCAAGAGGAACCTCATGAAATTTAACAAGGACAAATGCAAAGTCTTGCACCTGGGAAGGAAGAATCCCTCTCAAGGATACAGGCTGGGGACTGATGGGCTGGGGAGCAGCACTGAAAACATCTGGGGGTCATGTTAGACAGCAAGATGAACATGAGCTAGCAGTGTGCCATGGCAGCAAAGCAGCCTAAAAGCATCTTGAACTGTATTAGCAGATGTACAGTTAGGAGATTGAGGAACATGATTATCCCCCTCTGCTCAGTACTCATTAGACTACATCTAGATACCACAGCCAGTTTCCCTCCTGCCCCCGATCATTCTAACAAGAAATGTTGAACAACTAGAGTGATTACAGCAGAGAACCACTGAGATGGTCGGGAGCTGGAGCACTAGCCCTGTGAGAAGAGGCTGAGAGAGCTGGGCTTATTCATCCTGGAGAAGAGGTTGCTTCAAGGGACCTACCAGGAGCCCTTGAGTGCCTCCAAGCAAGTGATGAAGAATATATAGCCAGGCTTTTCGTAGTAGTGCATGGTAGGAGGATGAAAAACAATAGACCTAAATTGAAGGAAGAGAGATTCCAACTGTACATAAGGAAAAAAGTTTTCCCCATGAACAGGTTGCCCTGTTGGAGCAGGTTGCCCAGAGAAGCTGTTCAGTCTCTATCTTTGGAGGTTTTCAGAACTGGCTGGATAAAGCCCTGAGCAACCTGGCCTAATCTCACAGCCAACCCTACTTTGAGCAGAAGGTTAGACTAGAGAACTCTCCTAAAATCCCTTATGATCTGAGTAGTTCTGCGATTCTACGCGTTCAACAGAAGGTAGATTTTTCCACCTGAACTATGGCACTTCAGCACTTCATTAACAGAGGCTTCAGCATGATACTTTCTTGCATCACATAATGCAACAGCCTTGCATCTCTCCAGAGGGTAACTAGGGGTATGTAGCCCCTAAGCAAAAGAATGAGCTTTTGACAAGTAGAATAAGTGGTATACAACAGAAACACCAAGGAACATGCTGCATGAGATGAAGAAAGTTTCATGCAAATGTGAAGATCAAAACAGTGAGTCACAATTCACTCACGGGGGGGGAAAAAGCATACTTAATTAAGTCAGAATAACATAATCTTCTCAAGAACAACAGAGAAAATTGTGATGATATAGCACTGTTGAAACAACTTTTGCTCTCTTGTGTATTGTTTAATTATTTCTTACATAGTCATCATGAAAAACATTACCTGAACATCTGAAGAGAACGGGGCTGGTTTAAATGTCATGGAGCAATGTGATCTAGAAAGTAACAGAGGAGGAGGAGGAGTCCTGCTTTTTTTCTTGCTGCTCATAGCTTCTTTGAGACTGTGATACAAAGCATTTTGTTCAGCTTCAACTTGCTCAATTAATGTTAGTGCTTCCTATGATTTAAATTAAAACAAAAGGGAAAAACTATTAAAACGTAACAATCAGACAGATTTAACACTTACAAATGGTTTTCAAAATGATCGTATAAAAAATTCACTGCTATGTAGAAAACTTTTTATAGATTTTTCATATGATCTTACATCCTAAATTAGGATGAATGGTACTTTGTGTAAGCCTTACATATACAGATTAATTCCACAATGTACAATAAAGGGAATGCAGGATTGCATACGAAAAAGGCAGGGCTGAGGCATATACAATTTTGGAAGAACCTATAGGAAAAAAGAGACTGATCACAAATAATGTTGATTAGCAATTAGTGGCAACCAGTGATTAGCTCCAACAAGAAACAAAAAAGATATCAACTCTTATTTAGGAGAGAGTTGGAGACCTAATCTGAGGAATTTCTGAAGGAGCTGTGGAAGTGGTCAGACTGATTTTCTGTACTCCAGAATTAGAGAAAAGAAATAAAGTCCAGAAATAAAGAAAAGGGAGGAGAACACAAGCCTGGAAAAAGTAGGGCTAGGCCACTTCCCCTGGTTAGCTGGAGAGAGCTGAGAGCTGATTGACAGTCTGTTAGTGTCTCCCAAAAATGTGGGGTCCTGCTGCACATAGTGATTAGGTAGCCATTTAGTTGGTGATCAGGGTACATTTTTTTCTTACTGGACTGAATGACAAATTGGTAGGTTTCTTCACCTTGTTTGCATTGTCAGGATAAGAGAAACTTAACTTGGAAACTTAATGTTAAAAACTTAGTACTTTTATATCTTTACTTGTGGCAGCTGTCCAGTGCAAATCAAAGCCAAAAAGGCCAGCTCCCAGAGATGAAGAGATCGGGGATGTCTTGGACAAATTACATTCTTTTGGGAGAATAGAGAGCTGATATATTCCTATAGCTAGGGTTTTTATTTGAAATCTTCTAGTACCATATACTGGACCAAGGATTTAGGCTGAACTGAGTCTGAAAGATCAACTGAAAAAGAAAATCCCAAGTTATTGGTTATTCAGTGACAGTCCTATAATCTTGCACCTTAACAGTTCCTTGTTTATGTCCTCATACATTTATAAGGCTGTAAGAACAACCATACCAGGTCAGATCGCAGATTGAATAAGCCTTGTATCTCATGTCCAAAAATGACCAAAAACTAGCCACAGATTTGTAGTTAAATGGGAAGCTAAGATTTAATAAAGGCTTAATCACATCACATAGCTCATCATTTGCACAGCCCCTCACTTCACCCTACTCCCTCCCCCTTTAGATTAGGGTTGCATCCACCCTAGTGAGAAATGTTTAAGGAAGAATATAAGATAAAGAACAAGATATGCTCACACAACCATTCAACTTTTGCAATAGGTTATTAGAAACTTCATATTGCTTCCTAAAATTATACTTCTTTATGGTAAGCTGTACTATGATACAATTTTTAATTAAAAGAATCACAGACTCATTCTTCTCTGCAGACATATTTCTTATTAGTGCAAAGATGGAACTTCTCCCAGGTTGGATAGTGTCGCGAATGAGAGTGTAATGTGTGACCTATACTTCATTAATTGTAGAACTTGGAATATAATAAATGTGGCAGTGTTGCAAGAGGAGAAAGAATAATGTTATGGCTGAGGAAGCCAAATGTCACTATAGAAAAACACATTTTATCCCTGCCTCTGCCACAGACTTGCACTGTGTTATTAGCTTAATCACATTAATTCAATTTTACAGCTGGCCAACAAGAACTACCAGTGTACCCAATTCTGCAAAGACTTGGATGTCCAACTAGACATATAGGACATGAAGGAAGAATGAAACAACTGTGAGAGAAATTAAAAAAAATGAAGGGTACACAGTAGCTCAAGTAGTTAAGCAGTGTGATATAGATGAGTATACACATATGACTCAGAAGCTTCCATACCTGTCTGGTGGTTTACTGCATGAGAAAAGGTTATTTGTATGTTTCTCCAAAAAAATAAACTGCTTTCCTATTTTGCAGCGTAATAAGAACAGACATATCATATTGTGCTGAGTACAGTAGAAAAGACCAGAAGATACGAGTAATTCTATATAGACCTCTTGGATGGTCTACGATAAAAAAGGCAAAATCCTCTACACAGAGGCATGAAAATAAAGGTATGGATTTGCTGTTCATGAAGTGAGCACCATCCACCTCAAGGCAGAAAATTAATTGAGCATATAATTAAATATTTCATCATAGTACAAATATCAAAGAAGATCATGCTAAGTTTGTCCAGGCAAAGTTAACTCTGACATTTTCTGGCAGCTGGCTGCAAATATATTATATTATTTTACCTACATCTTTCTCTGTGAAAAGTGCACAGAAGTAAAATATAGTGAAGGACAGTGTAAGGCCTTTGCAAATGCTTGTTTGGGATAACCACACATTTCTTGGGAATTGCTTGTAAGTCTTCATTGGTGACTATAGTTACAACTTTCATACCATATCACTACATCTTATATTCATAAATGCCATATATTTTCCAAATATATGAGAGAGAGACTTTTAGTGTATGTCTTTTCTGATCCAATTTTTGCATTCTTCTGACATGAAAGATATGTGTGTTAATTATCATGCTTCCAAATTCGTAGCACTTAAAAGAAAAACACTTTCTAGTAACTTCTTGTTTAAAATACTTTTTCATATATTATATAGTGAGAATTGCAGATTCTGTTATCTGTTGTACAGGCTATAAAGAAATTTTATGCCCCACTGATCAGAAGGCAATTTTCATGGACAGATGCTAGTACAAAGCTCAATGGAAAGATTCCCGTTGACTTCAAAAGACTTCGAAATGAGCCCATGAAGAACCTACTTTTAGCCTCAATAAATTCCAAAATCTCTAACTTCTAAACTGTTTATTTAATAGGCATAAAATAAAGTCCATGTCATCATCACCAGCCAAAGTAATCTAAGACAACTTACAGATCTTAGAAAAAGAAGGATGTTGAAGGTTAAAATGGGGAGAAGGAAACCTGCATGGCATTTTGGCAAGGCATAGGTTCATAATTGCAAAGTCTAGGTGATTAAGTGTAGAAAGAAAGATCATATCTTTCAGGTTTCCTGTGTGCACAAAATTTGGGGATGAGCTCTTTCCTTGTTTTAAGTCACTTTCTTCCTTCATCGTAATGAAACTTCTCAGGGAAAATTTCACAACAGAAGTTAAAAACACCCAATGTCCCTCAAGTTCCTTCCATTTTTCTTCTTTTTGTAAGAAGGAGTAATCCAAGTCTTAATTATAAAGAACATGAAAAACTGTGATAATGATAAAGAATTTCTACCATATTTTTTTATTACCTCCAGTAGCTGCCTCTGGGAAGAAGTGGTTAACTCTTCAGGGAACTTCTGTGCAGCCTTTTGCATCAAAAAGATTGCTCTGGATAGCTTATTCTTTCTTATCTTTCTCATTATGAGTGCCTCTGTAAAATAGATATTTTAAGACATTTATAAAACAGCAGCAATAATTTATTATACTTCTAGAATCTTAATTAATAAGCCTTACCTGTTAAATAATGGAAATCTTTAATATTCTTCACATGAGACTTGCTAGACTTAAGACTGTCATCCTTCTGAGAACCTATGTGGGAAGGAAATCCTGAGTTACTCATTCTCAGAGTGCTATCAAGAAAATTTCAGTGAGAAGGCTTAATACGTAGTTTTGTAGTAAAGCTCTGCTCCATCTCATGTTCTTTTCTTTGGTTCAAAGAGAATTTCTTGGACTGATCATGCCACTAAAAATATTCCACCCTCATGCTCTAAAACATCTTTAGTAGTTCTACTAAATCACAGGAAAAGAGGAATCTTGTTTGATCATAGGGAGCAGTGCACAGGGGAGCTCTGCAGTGTCAACTAATACTAGTTTTTAATTTTAAAAAAAAAGCACCAGGAATGGGAAACCAAGTAGAGTTTTTTCAGAAGGCATTTAGCAAGAGTGGGATATCTGCTGACTGGGAAGAGATAAGGACAATTTCACAGTAGAAATTCAGATTACAAAGAGCATTGAATAAAATATTCAAGTCATTCTCTAGAGAGAAAATTAGCAGTACAGAAAAAATATTTCTGCAGAGCATCCCCCAAGTCTCCCTTACTGACACTGTAACAGTTAATATTACAGTGGAAATACCACAACAAACTGTCTAGGAATCCAATCCAGTAGTTGTTAGCAAAGTTTAACTCCCATTGGTTGAGTAGAGGTTAGAGACTAGTATCATGTGGTAAATCTAAATTCTGCAAATTCAGTACATTATTTCTGTCTGTATGTGGCATACAAACTGCCCAACATCAGCTCCTCTTCAGAAAGTAGACACTCCTTTATTTCTTAGTATTACAAAATATATTAACAGAGGACTCTGTTAAATCAAGCTATGAAGATCATTTAGCTTTACTGAAACGTACCTTGTGCTATTTTAAGAAGTTTCACAGCTACTCGATGTTGGGCCTGAACGAGCTCCAAGTGTAAATCCATTATAAAAGCATTACCTGTTCCTGTCTTATCATTGCCACATCCCAAAACAGAATTCAAATTCTGATCATTTGAGTCCACCTAATAAATAGGAAGTGGCAATTAAGCAAACACAAGCTTTTATTACTTAGCTTACTGCATTTATCTTGACATCGATATTATTATTTCAGTAAATTGACAAACACTGAAATTTGTCATATCTGTGTAATACGCAGTCATTCAAGAAAGCATGGAAGGAAGGAGAATTTCTAGACAGAGAAAGCATGGATAATGGACAAAGAAAACTAGACAAGACCTGAGAATCAATAAGAAACTGGATTAATAATAAATATGAAACTGCAGAAAAAATTGTTTTATTGTGTTAACAGTCCACAAAACAAAGATTATATTGGTGTAGAATGATAATATTTAGAAAATCTGAACTCCCCTCAACAGCAAAAATTAATTTTAATAATAAACAGTTGCAAGCAATAAATATGAAAAGGGTTTCTGCTTTTATTTTATAGGAGAAAGCTACAAAAGAATTATTTCCAAAAGAAAATGGCAAAGAAAACTTAAAAGAGTTTATAGTTTATTACTGAAAGAGAAAAATGCTATTTCTACTACACAGAGATTTATTTTTTCTATTCTCTTCTTACACGGAGCAGGAAGATGAGGTACATTGGATAATGCTAAGATTTCTAAGTATGAAGAAAATCAGAGTTTTGTGTCATCAAAATCCAATACATTATTTATAGATTTTGTTGCAGGGTAGCTTTTTGCAGACTTTACCTTTGTACAGCAGTTGTCAAATATCGACTTTCCATCTGGTAGAAGTGTCATTAAGCGAGATGTGTTCATTCCATTAATTGCTTTTTCAAGACTTTCATAAGCAACTTGTAATTGTTCTGTAGGGCTTTTCTGAAATGAAAACACATAGAAACATGTTTTATTAGATAACAGCATTAAAAGCTATATTATGGACTATCAAAAGCAAAGTGCTATTATTTTTAGCTGTTGCAGTTTAAACTCTGTCAAATAATTTTTACATAGGCACAGCTCCCCATGCTTTCATATACTAATATCTATGTTTTAAATTTCAAGTCATTTTAATTAATTTAGGACTGATTTCCTTCAGCTCTCAAAAAACAATTTACTAACTCAAAGAGTGAGCTTATAGCAGAATGAAACTGGACATAGAGAATTACGTTGACAAACACAGTATTTTTCACAAGCAGTTTTTCAATGTTCCATTAGATGCTGTTAAGAAAACACTAATTTTTCAGAAACCAACACTTTTAAGTAGACTATCACTGAATTAAAACTTCTCCATGTGTGTAAGCATTAAGACATTGCCAAAATTCCTGAATCCTCAGACTAATGTATGCCTTTTCTTCTTAATATCTTTTAGTAAGTAATTTTGAACTATTTGATTGGACACTTCTGCAAAGTGCTGAGCACTGAACACACTGACCAAAGCAAGGACACTCAGGATGTTCCATCTGTTCCACACCACCCTTACAAAAACAAACAAAGGAAAGCACAACCCTAAATATTTCCCTAAATGAAGCAAGGACTAAAGTTTGTATCTTTGTATCTTTAAAAAATGCGCTATTAAACCATTTAAAGCTGGTACTATACATTGGCATAAAAAAGAGTGTACAGTGGAAATCAGTATGATCATGCTGTAAAAAAAGTTTCAACTAAAACTTCTTCCATATCACAGATTACTATAAAAGGCTACAGGAAATTTTTCAGATTTTATTTCATTTGAAAATATATCTTTTCTTTTTTCCTCTGCACTAGCATGATTGTGTGAAACTTTTCAACTTTATAAAACTAAACACAAAATTGTATGAAAAGCTTCAAGCAGAAATAAGTGTTCTTATGCTATTAAAAAATGCTGTATTAATGAAAATGAACTAGACGTTACCATCAGTATTTCAGGAATATCATAGCTTTCATCCAGCGAGAGAGAGGCACTTCTTTTTCCTTTTTTATAGGAAGAAAATCAGAAAGTGAAAATGAAATATACTCAGAAAATTTTAGTACCATTTGATTAGCTCTACTACCAACTTAAGAGTCTGGCAATAATTCAGTTCTTCAGTACTTGACTATGAGAGGTAATTATATTGTTTCTTGAAAAGCTTTTCAGGGTTTAAACACAATAGCTACCTATGTACAATTACACTAATTCAGTATATGATTATCCAATAATGTAGTATTTTTAAATGTACACTATATTTCACAGCAACATTATATCTAAGTCAATGAAACTTGGACTCATTTTGTAGTTCCTCACACTGTTGTAGCATTCAAATCAATTTTCCATTTTTAAGGCAATTCAAAACTATTGTTATCCAATTCACAGTGGGTTTAATACTAATTTAACTTAAAGGAGGATTTTTAAATGCGTGAGGTCATCTTTTTATTATATATACTATTTCAATATGTGAGGTCATATTTTTATGATACACACTATTTCAATTTAATATTCCTCAAAGGGATATTATCACCCTTATAATGTTCATTTGGATTGTTTAAATTATTTTCATTTATAAAGAATGCATCTAGAATTGTGTTTTCCTTTCCAAAACAAGAGGAAGCAGCCCAAACAAGAGGAAGCAGTTTCTTTGTTCTTGTTCACAGCCCTCTATCCTGTCAAAAATTTATTTCTTCGCCAAAATAAATTCATTTTTTGCCCTTTCAGAGGGACAACCTTCTAGTCACTCCTGTACTCCTTGTGCCACTTTTGCCTGTTTATTTCTGTTTGTTCACTATCTCTTTCTCATAAATAAGAAAATCTATATTCACTCAGCATTCATTCAGTAAAAAGACTCTTCTCAGCACAAACATGTGCTTGACTGGCTATTTATCAGCTTGTTTTGAGCAATGGCTCCTATTTATTCAGTTTTTTTTTCCTCCAAATAGACATATTTAAACTGAATTAAAAAGAATAGCAGTGATGCTGCAATGAGGATTCATCCAATCTCCATCAGAATGGTCTGATTTTCATAACATTCACAGAAAAAAATACCTACTCTACCTTATAATGGAATAGTACTGTTCCAAGATTTTCTTACTTTCAAAAAAAGCAAAAGGTATTGTCATTCTCTTCTGTTCCTAGATATGCTCTAAAATGGTCCTTAAAATCTACTCTCTACCTACTGCAAAACAGTTACGAGAAATATGATTCATATTCCAAGATCCTTCATCCACAACAGAGAACTTTAAAAAGTATGTCTAAATAGTCATATTTTTACAGCGTCAGTCAGGTTTTGTAAGGAAATTTGTTTAATGTGATTGATTATATCCCAATAATGTCAGCCAAGTTAAGTTTAATTTCAAAGACAATTGAATTCCTACACAAAAATCAAGACTTCTGTAGACAAGAGATCCAAATTAATGGCCCAATAAAAGCAAGAGCTTCAGTATGACTTCAATATTTTCCTCTTCTGTTTGGCCTGCCAGTAGTCAACCAGCACTTGAATGCTCCAAATGGGCTGCAGCACACACTGCCTTCTGCCTAGCCAATATACAGAGAACATATGAGTGATTTGAGGCTACTCTGATGGGGCTAAGAGACATGTAGATCATCTGTGGGAAGGGTGAATCACAAGAGATGTGATTCAAAATGTGTGCTTCAGCAGAACTGGAAAGGCAAGGAAATAAGGCATAAATCTTTTGAAAACCAGGTTTCATTAGCTCTGATTATGGATGAAATTGTATGTACTAAAAATTATTATTCTACTCCCAACAATCTCTTTACAACAATTTTTGAATATGTATATTTGCAGAAGTTTTCAACTCAGAAAAGTTCCAATCTTTAAAGTCATTCTTGAAAGACAACTACATTTTTGTTGAAAGCTTTACCTGCTTTTTTCTTAGATTTACTTGTAGAATCAGCTACATTTTCCAATATTGCAGTTAGACGTAAGGTTATCTCTGCAACCATTACAACATTAGCGTCTGCTACGCTGCTCTTCTGAATTACTTCATTTATTATCCAAAGTACATGAACCCACTAAAAATAGGGGAAAGGGAAAGAAAAAGCATCAAGACAGAGTTAAAACAAACTTTAGGAAGATATTTATGTATTACAGAGGCAGATAGGGTTTTGCACTCAAAATTGTTTAAAAAGATTCATAAACCTGGACACAACTCCTTTCTTGGATTTGACTTCTTTTTTTGAATGCCACCAGACTAAGATGCTGAATTTGTGCTGCTCTGAAGCCCCTATTTCTTCAGACAGCAGACTTCTTTATTTTAGAACATTATTATTTTTATTGTTTTAGAAAGGTTTATGAATATTCTATGGGCACAACTTTTATACCTTGTCACAGTGTGGTAAGCCTTACAGCAGATTTGATCATTTGCCTCTCATTTATCCCCATATCTTCCCACTTAAACAGTATAAAAGAGACCTGAATGCACCTGTTGTACACACAGAGGAAAGTAACTGTACCTTACTTTCTGGTGAATCTCTCAACAATTTTTTGTTGGGATCAGGGCCACAAAATGAACTCCTCCAGAAACTGGTCAGCATCAACTGGCAGCCCAGAGAAACTAGCGTAAATTATCCTTCACAAGGCTGGATTTCACCAGGAGCCTCTCAGTCTCAGGAAAAGTTCAAGGTAAGGCTGTGACTCTATCAAGTGGGCCAAATCCTGTTGACCCTCATGTCCCTTCTATTAAGCTGTAAGGTTTTTCTCTCTTTCTTCAATTGATCTAGGGAACTTTCTTGAACTATATTGATATTTTCCACCACAACACACCGAATGCTTCTTCTTACATCATGCCCAAATGCTTTCACTATTTTAGCTTCTATCATGGCCCACTGGCAGAGAATGGGTTACTTTACTGGGAGAAGTCTAAGACGTATTTTGATACTGGCATATGGGAGCACAGTCTGTTCAAAGTGTAGATACAATTCACATTTTCAGTGAAGAAGATTTATCTGCATTTTACCATAAGAAAATATACTTAGACTGGAGATCAGTATTTTATCTTGGCTTTACTATAACAGACTGCACTCATATTAAGAGAAATACATTATAATAAGGAGTACTTGGTAAGCTTTGTATTTGTGGATATATTTTAAGTAGTCACTTCCACTCATTTGGATTTGCTGAAGTCCTGTTTTACACTTCTGCCACAAAAACATTATTACATCAACAAGTATTTCTATGTCAGGTTGGATATTCTGGAAAGAAAAAAAACAACATAATTTTAGAAACATGTATGTATATACAGTATATATAAATACTCTCAAAATTTTTCAAAGTAAATAAATCATCATATTTAACTTTCTTATAAGGGATGACAACATTTTGAAAGCTTAAGAAATAGTTTTTTTAAAGTAATTTCTGGTAGACCAGCCAAGCTTTTTTTCTCCCAACAATACAAGTGGTTTTAGAGTTTGGGGGTTTTGTATTTCCTTTTTTATTGTCAAGCTCTTAAAAGTCACACAGACAAGGAAAGCAGTGAGATGAAAATTACGTGGGAGAGACAAGCAAATTAACTATCTGTGTAATGTTATAATAGTCAATACATTCCAGGGAAACTAAGTAATGTAATTTAACAGTTATATTAACTTTGGGATTTTTTTTTTGTTACAGTATTTAAATATTTGCAGAAGATCTAAATTAATAGGTTTCATTTTGTATTGACAGAATACTTCCACAGGTTGTTGGTGCATCTCAGATGAGGAAGCAGTGAAGAACAAATTAACTAGAAAAAAGGTTGGAGTGGAATATCTAACAACTGAAAGAAATGTTTTCATCTGCATCTTATGAAAAGAATAATTAACAAATTCAAAACTCTATTCAGTTAACCTCCTAATTAACACATTTGAAAAGGCAATAGAGTCCATCTACACTGTGTTAAACACATTCTGAACAGTGATTAAGGATCAGTACACATCTTTATCGCCATTTATACCAGAGTTGGACTAGTATCTCAGGTGCAATGAAACTCCAGCCTGCAATATCCACACTATCTGTACACTCACATATGTATGAGCATAAGGTTTCAGGAATATTGATATTGAGAAGTGAGGGGAGAAAAAGACTGAAAAATAAGTAAATCAAGATGACTTTTGCCCCTCGTTTGGTGGCAGCAAGCTGTTAGATTGGCTCAGCTATATCATGTAACTTCACCATCAGTGAATTCACTGTTAAGCAGGGGAGAATTTGTCTTTCTTCCCTGGATAGATTAGGCACTGAGGAAATTTGTGGGAAACTGTGTAAGAGCCAGAAGAGCTTAAATCCAGGCAACCTGCCTCCATAATACAGTGGTCATGTAAAAAAATGACAATTCATGCTATCTAAAGGTATAACTACCTCACAGGCAGGATATTTTGACTGAAAATATTACACTAAAGCTAAAAAATGTGTGTGCTCCAGTTATAGTCAAACTAAATTTAAACTAAACTAAAATTAATTTCGCAGTTAAGACATACGCCATGTTAACAGAACACATTTTTCTAAGGAGAATTTTTCATTAGTCTTTTGGATCACAAACTATTTTAGTGTAAATGCTAGTGGAGACATTACACTGTAATTTTTTTCCCCTCACAGTAACACGTTAAGGGAAATCTCAGTTTGAGCAAGTAAGCTAAAAAAGGTTACTCTGGGAACAGACCATCAGATATATAATGGGATTATTCTGCAGTACAGACTTCAGCACAAAATGTCCCGCTCTCTTTGGTTTTGTTGTTGCTGCTGCTTGTTTGTTTGTTTGCAATGAGAATTTAACTTAAATTGCAGGCATACTGCTGCTATAAAGCCATTACCATTCCTTAGGGTCACTGCTCCCATTTCTATAAATGTTGCAGAAATGTTTTCTACAGCTGAGCATACTTGCCCACCTAAATCAGAAATTTGAGCTCTGCTTGATTAGCTGAAACATGCAATTAGGTCTATGATATTCCAAATGGATTTAATATCTATTAAACATTTTTAAAGTAGCCTGAGTACACAGCACCAATAAAATTTAAAAAAAAAGAAACGTTATTTTTTTCAGTCACAAATTGATCACATCTTATGGGTATATTTTTTCATTTTTGCTATTTCATTTTTGTAGTTTGTTCATCATGCAACTGATTCCTTTGGTCTTAAATTATATGCATTCATTACAGACTATGTGATTCATTCAGAAGAAATGTCTCTAGTTTTATTATACCTGCTTAGATGTGGAGACATAGGAAAACACTGTTGTTGCCAAAATCATAAGATCGTGAGAAGGCTCTCCGTGCTTTAAGGAACCCTCTACATTCAATGTTTATAAAAAGGAAGAAAAGGGAAAGGCAAGACGTTATTTCTAGTTACAAACCTATGTTTGAAAACATCTGAGTGAATTGACTTACCAATTTATGCCAGTAGATAATATACTCTAAGAAACAGTAAATACAAAGGGGACAGATATTCCCAAGTTTATTCACTTTCTGTGAAAAGTGAGCATTGCAGTTTTTGGAAATGGAAAGTTTTCAAGATATTTGCAGGTTTTTGGACTGTTATGCAATTAAATTACAGTTGCTTTAACAAGTTTTTCTTGCGTCAATGACAAATTTTACATAAATGGAGTATAAGGACAAAAGAAAGTCAAACATGTCTGTTTCACTTTTTTCCTGAAAACCTGTCTGAAAACATCCATTCATTTTACATCTTTGCATATAACATGATGTATGTTAAACATACATGCTATTTCACACTCAAGGGAAATGGTACAAAGTCATGTTTTGGCAAATGAAAACTGGACAAAATTCAGTAGGTTGCAATTTCTCAATTGCTAGTTTTTGTCATAGAATACTGCATGCACCATATTAATAGTTTTTAAATAATAAACAAAATTTCTTGCTGCAAAAATATTTGAAATGAAAAAGCAGCTATAACTGAGCAACACTAACTTCTGAATGTTTGCTTCTTTTCAGAACCATGAGGCATCCTAGCTTCTTTGGTATTATTTTCACTAACAGAAAAACCGTGTTTAAATTTTCTTGGAAATAGTAAAGGTTGCATCAGTGTAACAAGTTTGAGTTCCATTTCAGCTTTCTTCCATGTTGGGTCATCTTGAGCCTAATTGACAGAAACGAACAACAGAAATTTGTCTTTAAAATATGTACTTTGAATACTCTTCCTTACCCTCATAGGAAAAGACTACATAAAGAATGTCTAAATAGCATCTGGATTACCTGAAGAAAATTAATAACAAATTCAATAGCAGAATCAAACACGTCCCACTCTTCATAGCTGAAAGCTAATTTTATAAATTTCACAGCAGCATCTCCAGACACTCCCTTTTCTCCTGCAGTGGTGACAAAAATATTGTATCTGGTTTTTATACATATATTCAGAAGTGTAATTTAAGCAATAATTTGGGTATTGATAAATACAAAGATAAAACTCCACATGTGTTTTTGAATAGTCAGCATAATCTTGAAGGATTTAATAGCTCTACAGGATACAATAGCTTTATTATTTTGCTGTAACGTCTATGCTTATATAGTACTTTAATGATGTATCTGCAATGTCCTGTTAACTTCCAAAGAGGCTGTACTATTATTGATATTAACGTACCTGTGTAGAGGATATCAAGGACCTAGTCCTTTCTGTTACAGAAAGAGCATAAACCTGGGTACCACCCCATAACGACCCTTCTTCCCAGAAATTTAGTTAAAAAAATGTGTAGAAACATGAACAATTTCTTGCAAGCTAGGTGAGCATTTCTCATTATTGTATCAGAAAATGTGCATGTACACATAGGGAGCCTATTTTCTCACTCTTCAAGTTTATTCAAACCACAGTAAGGCAGAAAAGGGATTTCCTGGTCCTTGGAACTCTAAGCAAGTGTCTTAGCTAATATATTCAGCAGTGTTCTGCAGTCCTAAGAATATGCCGCAGTCATTGTCATATCACTGGGGCATGTGGTCACTCGGCTAAAAGATGTTAGCAACATTAACTTAGTAATAGACAGATGTTATTTTCCAAAGCAGCACAATGATTGGTCCAAGGATCTCAACAAGCTTATGACAGTCCTTCTGTTACTGCATGCCACTTCTCTTCCATAAAAATGTACCAGGACATCATTGCAGAATTTGGCCTGTGAATGATTGTTTAGGGGCATTAACATATATAGATGAATTGCTATGCTGAACAGTATGTGATTACAATGTCCATATAATACTATATGCTATTTAAATAATACTTGTGTTAAGAAAATCGTAATGATATCTGTACATAATCCCTTTTGAATGCTTGTTTATACATATAAAGCTAAGCCATATCTCAGGCAAAGAGGACAGCATTTTGCAGTCCCTTTATGCATAGAACAGCAACTAACATGAAAATGAATTCTGCTCACCAAGCATTTGCATCACTGGGTACAGAATCCTTTGAAAATTCAAAGTTAGTTTACCTGTTAGTATCAACTGCAGAAGGGTTGATGATGCATTAATTATACCAAAATGATCAGTGCAATGACTTCCTTGAATACCAGTACTGCTCACTCCACCTTTAATATAGACAATTTGTTAAATCAGTTTATATTGTATTTCACTTGTTAGATTCCAATTAGCCAGTAATCATATCAAGCAAATATGATTCTGAAGTGTATTTAGTCTCTACAGGTTCTTTTATTAACAAAATATCTCTATAACTATGGCTATATTCAGTCCAGAGCCCAGCAAAAAACGTTTGGAAGAAATCATCAAGTCCAGTGTTTTTCTCAAGTTTTTAAATCTAACTTTGAGTGATTTTTTTGAAAAAAAAAAAAACAAACAAACATGAAACACCACGGTATGTTGACCTTGCCTGGCTTCCAGACCCGCACCCAGCTGCTCTTTCACTCCCCCTCCTCAACAGGACAGGGGGAGAAAATAAGATGGAAAAGCTCATGGGTTGAGATAAAGACAGTTTAATATGAAAAGCCAAAGCTGTGTGTGCAAGCAAAGCAAAAAAAGGAATTTAGTCACTATTTCCCATAGGCAGGCAGATACCCAGCCACTTCCTGGAAAGCAGGGCCTCAGGATGTGTAGCAGTTGCTTGGGAAGACAAACGCCATAACCACTTATGTCCCCCCCATCCTCTCCCTTAGCCCCAGGTTTTATTGCTGAGCATGACATCATGTGGCATGGAATAGTCATTTGGTGAGTTCCAGTCAGCTGTCCCAGCTATGCCCTCTCCCAGATTCCTGCCCAGCCCCAGCCTACTGGCCTTTTGGGGGGAGGAGGGTTGGATAGACAGCCTTGACACTGTGCAAGCACTGCTCAGCAACAGCCAAAACACTGTCATGTTATCAACACTGTTTTAGCCACAAATGCAAGGCGCAGCACCATACAGACTGCTATGAAGAACATGATCTCCATCCTATTCAGAAAACATATACATAAATTACGGTAGATTTTTACTGATATAACCGATAACAGAGATTGGCCCAGATTTTTATTTTAAATTTTATGGAGATAAAAAAGATTGCCTGCTTTTACAGGTGCTTCTGTTATAAATTAAATAGGCAAGTTCTTTCTTTTATAGCAGAGAAAAAAACTAATAAAATGGAGGTAAAAGGGAGGGGTGGTCTCCTCACCAACCCTCTTTCTGCTTCTTTATGCTGTTACCTGAGAGGATTTCCAGGCCTGCAAAAAAGAGCTCTGAAATGACATCACGAATTTCAATTTCATCAGGAACAGGTAGAGCAGGGCACAACACATGCCTGCTACTATCAGACAGAGCTTCCAGGATGGCAAGGAACTGAGCTGCGGCACCATCAAACATTTCTGTCAGCAGCCGTTCGGTAGTAGTGCGAGGCCATGGCAACTAAGAAAGAAAAAGTAACGTAAGCCTTGCAATATCTAAATTGAGTTACAACAAAGCAAGATTTCTCTCAAAACAGTTCTCCATCAGAAAGTAAGTACACATTTAAAACAGAAAATAATATACTGTAAAATATATTGTTGTTATGAATTTCATGCTTCAAAGGTATAGCAAAGCCTCATGGTAAGTGGGTACAGTACTTAACAAGTGCCATAATTTCATAGCAACCACATGCACTGCTGTATGATGTTTTACTTAGAAAACAATACAACAGAAATTATGAGTGAGACTATAAAGGCCACGTAGTTTAAAGCTACCCAGATCTCTCCTTATAATGATACAGACTTGACCATAAGGAGCTGAGTTCTACATACTTTGCAGAAAATCAGAGAAAGATTAAGATGCTTAGCACTGCAGTAAAAGCAAAACACTATTATATTCTCTCACTTGCACATTTCAAACAGCACAACATAAAAATACAAGGCAGAACACACAAAAATATATTTGCACTACTGACAGCTAAGAAATCAGAGATCTATGTAAGAAAATATTTTAAAATTTTATTTCAATGTTCTATTTACATGGTTACCAAACCACTACCAGACATAAAGTAAATCAGAGCTAGAGTACTTTAAAACGTTGCTCATAATCCATCAACATTTCAGTTCTATTTATTTGGCACTTTCCCAAATAAAAACACTTTAGATTGGTTTCTAGGCACACTTAACTAGACAAAAATTTAGGAATTTCCTTCTCGCTTTGCTGGATCCACATCCTTTATTTTAGCTTCCAAATTAATACTTACAGACAAGTTCAGATGTGCACCTGATTAAAAAAACTGATCTGTTCAATATCTGACAGCATTTAGAGTATTAAAGCTAATGGGTTATTTTTGTTTTCAGATAACTTATATAATGGGTGAGCCTCATCAATACTATAACTATCTGTCTTTTCCAAAGAAAGAGGAACTATTTCTGCTGGGAGTATAGTTAAAGTAAAAACAAAAGATAGTTACTATTGGATACTGATGAAGCAGCTAATCCCGGAAACCATTTCCAGGCACTTGAAGGACAACAAAACCATCAAGAGTGGTCAGCATGGATTCATGAAGGGAAAGTCGTGCTTGACCAACTTGATAAACTTCTATGTTGAAATTGCTTGCCTGGTAGATGAGGGGAGAGCAGTGGATATTGTCTACCTAAACTTCAGTAAGGCCTTTGACATTGTCTTCCATAACCCTCAGCAAGTTTGTAGGTGACACAAAACTGGGAGGAGTGGCTGATATGCCAGAGGGTTGTGCTGCCATCCAGAGGGACCTCAACAGATTATAGGAACCTCATGACGTTCAACGAGGAGAAGTGCAAAGTCCCGCACTTGGGAAGGAACAAACCCATGCACCAGCACATGCTGGGGAGCCACCTGCTGGAAAGCAGCTTGGCAGAAAAGGACTTGGGGGTCCTGCTGGACACCCAAGTTGAACACGAGCCAGCAATGTGCCCTTGCAGCAAAGGCGGCTGATGGTACCCTGGACTGTATTAGGCAAAGTATTGCTAGCAGGTCAAGGGAGGGCATCCTTCCCCTCCACTGGTGAGGCCACACCTGGAGTACTGTGTCCAGTTCTGGGCTCCCCAGTACAAGAGAGACATGGATATACTGGAGAGAGTCCAACGAAGGGCCCCAAAGATGTTTAAGGAACTGGAGCATCCCCCCTATGAGGAAAGGCTGAGAGAGCTGGGACTGTTCAGCCTGGAGAAATGAAGGCTCAGCGGGGATCTCATCAACGTATGTAAATACCTGAGAGTGCAAAGAATACAGAGCCAGGCTCTTTTCCAGGGTGCCCAGTGACAGGACCAGAGGCAATGGGCATAAACTGAAATACTTGAGACTCCCTCTAAACATCAGGAAACACTTTTTCACTTTGAGGGTGACCGAGTACTGGCACAGGTTGCCCAGAGAGGTTGTGGAGTCTCCATCCTTGGAGATATTCAAAAGCTGACTGGACGTGGTCCTGGGCAACCAGCTCTATGTGGCAGAGGGGTTGGACCAGATGACCTCCAGAAGTCCCTTCCAACCTCAACAATTTTGTGATTCCATGATGTACATTCTCCTAGTAAAATAACTCCAAAACAAATTTTCAACATTTTTTTTAATAAATCCTCGTAATGATGTTCACAGACTAAAAAAATTTCAATGCAAATTATACATTTTTTTTTTATATTTTGTGTCATTGTATTCAACATATTTTTTTCCCCACACTGCAGATTTGTTTTTATGAGCCCAGTCTAGGAATCAGATCTATGCAAGCAGAAAGCAATATACATCCCATATATTCCACGACAGGCTAAGCACAAATTGCAGGTTTTGTTTAAATACCTTCGTTAAAATACAGAGCAGAATGGGCATGGAATTTACTACTACTAATAATATTTTTGCATAAGCATTGTCTTGTTATGTTTAGAAAACAAACATTGCACTGGTGCAGAAGAACCTCAAAGTGAAAGCTAACTTAAACTAAATAGATTAGACTAGCTTGTTTCCATTTTTCAAGGTGATTTAAGTACAAAACCAAATTCCACTGCATACATGCTAGAAGAGAAGGAAGAGCTTTAATTCTTTGCTAGTCCAAGCATAATGTGCTCTGTAGCATGCTGGACTGAGCTCTAAATATAACTGTTCTGCTACAATGTACATATTCTATAATTAAAAAAGGAAATTGTTTTGAAAGTCAAAACATTAGGCAAAAAATAAATGTCCCATATTTTTGCATTTACTTGACACTTAATAAACCTACAAAATATTCTGAAATAATTATTAAAACAGTGCTTTCACATTTTACATGATTCAACAAATCTTGTAAAACTACAAAAGACATGCAGAAACAAATAAGAAAATTCAATACTATTCCTTTAGAAGCAAAAGACTTTTGGTGGGGGAGTTATGAACAGTGTAATTTCTAACAATTTGTTGTTAACTTCAGGCATTCAGTTTTGTCAGAAAGTCAAACAGACACTGCAGAACAAAATCAATTACTGAAGATTTCTCAAGCTTCTGGAGATCAGGTATATGAGATTCCTGGTATGTGACAGACATAGGTTCCTAGTAACATGACAGGTGCCTGATGAGCAAACATCCTATTTGAAAGCATGCTGAGTTCCTGTGCTGGTTTTGGCTGGGTTAGAGTTAATTTTCTTCACAGTAGCTAGTATAGGGCTATGTTTTGGATTTGTGCTGAAAGCAGTGTTGATAACTCAGGGATGTTTTAGTCACTGCTGAGCAGCGCTCACACAGAGTCAAGGCCTTTTCTGCTTCTCACCCCACCCCACCAGCGAGTAGGCTGGGGGTGCACAAGAAGTTGGGAGGGGACAAAGCTGAGACAGCTGACCCCAACTGACCAAAGGGATATTCCATACCATATGACGTCACGCTCAGCATATAAAGCTGGGGGAAGAAGAAGGAAGATGTTCGGAGTTACAGCGTTTTTCTTCCCAAGTAACCGTTACACATGATGGAGCCCTGCTTTCCTGGAGATGGCTGAGCACCTGCCTGCCCATGGGAAGTAGTGAATGAATTCCTTATTTTGCTTTGCTTGCATGCGCAGCTTTTGCTTTACCTATTAAACTGTTTTTACCTCAGCCCACGAGTTTTCTCACTTTTACCCTTCCGATTCTCTCTCCCATCCCACCAGGGGGGAGTGAGCGAGCGCCTGTGTGGTGCTTAGCTGCCGGCTGTGGTTAAACCATGACAGTTCCTAATATCCTAATTGTTCCTCAAGACTTTTAGATGATCATCATTCAGAAGTACTTAAGTCTTCCAGAATCAACTGACCTTGAGAAAGTTAACTGGTACCTTTATATGTGCAAACCACACATACTTGAACATGTTGAGGTTTGGGCCCTATCTTGGATAATGGGAAATTTCCAGTAAGTGAGGTTTGGAACAGATCAACTGTGCTGTCCACGCAACTGTTTAATATTAATTACAATTCAAGTCAATGATTTGAAACTGAAGTATCAGATAATCTTTTAAAAAGCTTTGATGAATAACATGTAACGGAAGCATTCAATACAATTAGATCACATCTGTAACATATTGGTATAACTTCATTATAATTTTACTATTAACCATAAGCAGTATCAAATGAGCGATCTCAGTTGCTTCTGATAAGTCTTTCTAATACAGCCAATTTTCTTTAAAAAAAAAACCATAATATAGACTAATGGCAAAGAAATAATTAAATAAAAATTATATCAATATTGAACAATTAAAGACAGAAAATACATGGTTCTTATTTCAAATTATTTGGCTTTTACTGTACCTAGTGCAGTACATGTTTTTACATGTAGCTTATCCCAAAGTATTTTATTAATAATTTAGATAATTATGAACAAAAAAATCCAGATTTAACCTATTTGTTCAGCTCTGAATGTTTGAATCTGTTCTAGCACCAAATAAACTGTGGCAAAGAAAATGTCACTTTGTAGTATCTCGTTCCTTTTGTCTTTCAAAAAAAGTAAAGAGATTCCTCAATTTTGCTATTTTCTTATGAGGTACATATGTAATGGATCCATATCTACATCATGAGAATTAAAGGATGATGGAATTTCAGTCCAAGGAGACCTTGAGAAACTTGAGGAAGTAGTTCTACTGGGAGAAGTGTCAAGCTCTGCATCTGAGGAGGAATGCATCTGTACAGACTGGAAACAAACTTTTGGAGAAGCAGCGCTGCCAAAAAAGACCTGGCTGTTAAACTTGAGCCAGCAGTGTCCTCTTGTCACAAAGGCAGCAAACTGCAGACTGGATTACACTAGAAGTGTAAACAGCACACTGAGAGGTTATTTTCTTCCCTTACTTGGAACTCATGAGGCTCCATCTAGAGTATTATGTCCACTTTTGGGCTCCTCTGTGTAAGAAGAATGTTAAGAAACAGGACAGGGTCCCGTGGAGGAATATCAAGATGATTAGGGCCATAAAATGTCAAAGAATAGGCTGAGGAAGCCTTAGTTAGTCTGGCAAAGAGGAGGCTAATGGATAACCTAACAGCTGCCCACAACTACTTGAAGAAGACTGATAAAGTAAAGAAGCCAAACTTTTCTGAGTAGAAACAGATAGGATAACAAGGAGTAATGACCACAGTTCCAACTTTGGCGGACTCGACTAGATGACTTCAATTCAGATGACTCTGAAAGCATCAGGGATGACTTGCAGACTGGACATTAGGAGAAGTATGTTAATTAGGAGGGTAGTGCAGTACTGGAAGAGGTTATCTAGATTGACTAGGGAATATCCTTCATTGAAGGTTTTGAAGACAAAGCCACAGCTGATTTGATCTATCGTTGGCAAAAGTCATGCTTCAAGTCAGAGGCTGGACTAAATGACTTCCAGAAGTCACATGCAACCAATGTCTTCACTCCTACAATACTGCAATTCTTCATAATGCAGTATTTGCAAAAGAAAATAATTTACTCCATAAAACCAAACTGTCTATATTTATATCACCATCAGCTAACAACATTCCACAGAATAATGCTTTTTATCACAAAAGAGTGTCACAATCCAAAGAGATATCCATCTTTTGCTTACAAGGGTGCAAAGCATCCCAATGAGCAGGCAATATTAGTAAAAGAGTGTGGTTTTGGGAGCGTGCTGAATAGTACTTTCAGTCGCTCCTCTCTGCCAGCTTCCTATGGAATACTGCAGGAATTAAATTTATTTAAATCACAATTGCAAACAGTAGGAAAGCAGAACAACCATCTGTCCATCACAAAGGGAAGAACCACTCAGATAGAGGCATCCTCTTTGGCACAGTGAAATCAAAATGAGAACTTTCTATTCTATCCGTGCAGTCCTGCATCTAGGAGAGGTCTTGAATTCAAAAGACCTATTGACCTATGACCAAAAATGGATGATACAATCTAAGTAAGATGCACAACCATTACGACCCCACATAGTAGCATAATGGCATAAAGATAAACTTAACTACTGAAGTTTGACATATTGAAGTCTGCATAAAGGGACCAAAAAAGGGACAATGCGCTCACACAAAAAAGCATTTTCTTTGATTATTTATAATTCTTATCCCAATGGATCACTGAATTTTGACACTGGCTGTAAAGAACACAAGGGAAGAGTGAAATTTGAGGAAATTCATTACTTCCTTAAAAGTCTACTTTGTATACTGGGTGCCTTTCTCTAATTCATGGTATCTTGCAGAAAAGTAAGTGGCCTTCAAGACAATCTCTCAAGACTTAAGAGAGTTCTCCCATGTAAGTACAAAAAACTTTAAAATCACAGCAACCTTTTTTCAAAGAACCTCTTTATCTTCACAGTTATTTAACACAGCGGGGCAATCTCAGGACTCCCATACACTTGGTACGAATTTGAACAAGATTTCTCTTATTTTTCTTGCTAACATAACTGCTAAACGAAAAAATGCTAGAAAAATCAGTATTTTCTAAAGTAGTAATTACTACATCTTCTCTCCTTTCAAATTTTTTCTGAGTTTTAACAAAAAATTATGTTAACTCTGAAACTGAAAGAGTAAAACTTTCTCCTTGTGAATAGCACCATGTATATTAACTAGAATTACATCATATATTCACTTCACCACAGGCAAATAGTAAACAAAGAGAAGAATTATACAAAATGTTAGACTTACTTACATTTTGTGCTTCTTTCAGGCTAACTCTTAACTTAGGTCGAAAGCAGCTTTTCGGCTTTCTTCTGGATTCATATACTGCTCTCTTGAAAATCATTACTGACATCTGACACAAAGAAAAAAGTAAGTAAATAACTGTGTAACATGTTCTTTTCATAGAGATTGTAACTACTCTGCCTGTTTATAATGAATTGCAGAATGATACCTTTAGAGTGGCCTCTCTCAAAATCTTTTTTGTCTCTGAATTTTCCAGCGAAGAACTGATATTTTCTAATTGCTTCAGTTCATCGATTTTAATCAGACCACGGCGAGCAAATATCTGTCCAAAGTATTAAAAAAAAATTTATACTCTGTTTTCAAATGCTCTATGTTGGTATTTAATTTTAGAATCATATCATTCTTGAATTCAGACAACTGCAAAGAGCTGCAATGAAAGCCAGGTCATGAACAGCAATTGAAAAGGAAAAGAAAACCTTTGCAAAATAGCTTTTGTATATATGCATGGGGGCTGGCCACTACTTAATGCTGGAAGTCTATGACTATGATTATATTAGAAAGCACAATTGCATTTAACTATGAATTGATTACTCATTTACATGTGGAAACACACCTCCATTTGCAGGTAAATTTTGGAATATGGGCAGAACTCCAAATACATACAAGCTGATAATAAGCAGGAATATTTAAATAAGTATTTATTTCCCATTTGATTGCATCTGAAATGCTACGTATGTTAAATCAGGATACCTCTCCATGAATGCCGGCTTGACAATCAAAATAACACTGAGAGACTGCAGTATATAGGGTGGCTCTCCACGTCAAGTAATGTACAGATAAGAGTGGAATGGATGATTCCATACATATACTGGCCCACAGTAAGTATTCCAGGACCTGTATTGAAGAAATCCAGTTTTAAACTGAATGCATTTTAAACTATAGAAATATACTAAAGGACACATACAAAGATTTATCCTCACCTGGTAGAACAAATTAAAAGAGGAAAAAAAAAAAATCACAGAAATTGTATTAATTTTTAACATGTTTTATTGACTACAAAGCATTCCTCCTGGATATTATTGTTTTTTTCACATCTGAAACTGTGGTCAAGCATCATATTTTAGTCTCCAAACTACTTTAACCACTCCAGTTCACTATAGCCTTGCCACCAGACAGAGGTCCTGCCCTTCTCTCTCATCTGCTCTTATCTTGACAGTTCTCCCTCTCCTTTGTGTCAGCTCTAGTGATCTTTTTTTTTTCTAAGTTTTCAACTAGATCAGCAAGCTTATTTGGGATGCAATGGAGTCTGCCTTCTCTGGTGACAGTCTGTACTTAGATTAATTTACAACCATGGAACTACACTATCGGCTTTTAACTTCAGGGCCAACGTAGTCATGGCAGCAGTCTAATTTTAAGAATTAGTCCTACTAAATTGATTGAACAATATCTTCCCCTTGTATTTTCTTTGGGTCAGCTGTTCCCTGAGGTACACAAAATACGCACAACCTTAGTCCTAAATTAAGTCAATATATGGATTTTCTTTTTGTCTGAATTAAAAGAATCTGAAATGCCTACGATCAGTTCCTCTGTTTCCCGTATAGTAAAAGCCTGAATACATTAAAGGAGGTGCTAAATCACTTCTGATTTCAATAAAAGATGTTCAAAGAGAAAAAAATCTTTCCTGCTCAATGAAAGATTAATATAACCAACAGATAAGAAAATATACTGGATCTAGGCTGAGCCAGACTCTGTTCAAGTTTTAGGAGAAAAAAGTAAAGCTAAGACAAACAAAAATTACATTCATAGTTAAAAAGAAAAGGGCAGAGGGGAAAGGCCAGGTCATTTTTATTAAGTATTTACAACTAAAAACCTAGCCACCAGGTGTCAGTACGTTTCCACATTTTACAAAACAAGAGACCAATTCTTGGGATTTGATACATTTGCACAAAAAAAAAGCATCTAGAGCCCTCTGAAACAGTCTAACATATCCCATCTCAAAGACCAGCAAGACATTATGCTGGGCTCCATTCCACAACTGAGGAAGGAGCAGACTCATAAAGACACGAGGGCTTAGAAATTGGCCATTTTGCAATCTAGACATGTATTCCCTTGTGACAAAGTGCTACTATTGGCAATGACAATGAAATAGATATGTCAGGGTACAGTATTATGCAAAATACAGGTGCATTTTTCAATCTTCTGTAAATTTTTCAAATGTTTCTATTTATTTTGCCATACCTTAGCAGACTGACCTCTCATCATCAAATGTCTGCATATGGTGTAAATATGAATAGTACCTGCAAAAAGAAAATGAAGTAAGTAAAAAACAGGTAAGTTCTATAATCCTACATGAAATTTGTCATGCTAACCAACTGAAACTTCTTCTTAATATCTGGGTTGTTATTTCCAGAGGCTGAAAAATACACTAGTAATTCTTCTGTAACTACTTTTAAATTAGAGAAGATGAAGCCATTAAATTCTTGGGCGATACTAGCTTCAAAAATACCTACACAATGAAGTAGTATCATAAAAGAATGAAATCTTAAAAATGCACTATATCAAATTTTTATTACGTAACTGATAGAGAGAAAAATCTTATTTTATTCCCAAATGCCAGCCTCTTTAAAAAAAAATACTACCTCTCCTCACAGACCTTACCTTATGTGATTCTTTTAGTCTGTCATGGCACTCTCCAAGCAGACAACACCACTATTACGTGATATTAAGTATGATAAGTAAAATGAAGAAAATTGATTGTGAATAGAATTTTCAAAAGCATCAAAGTGACTTACAAATAAAATCCTGTCAAAAATGTACTTAATTTAGGCTATGTCACAAAATTGCTTTTCAAAAATCAGCCCTAGAAGTATAAAAGACATTGTGGTTCTGGGGGGGGAAGTCTATTCTTCTGTCTGTACAAATGTTCAGAAAGGGACACCTGTGGCAGTGGAGGCATCACAATGTCAACTGTCATAGATAGAAGGGTGTTATTATCCAAATAAGCAAGAATTGAGCAAGCATTAGGAAGATTTTTTTTTTTATAAGTCAAATGTGTAATGAGGCACAAAATCTATTGCCAGAAATTGCAGAAAAATGCTCAGGAACTGGGAAAAATCTGTTATCACCTAACATGTACTTCCAATCAGGTTATTGGCTTGGTACAGAGACCTGTCCAACAAACAGGTAGTGGGACCTAAGAATGGCAGGTGAGTGTATTTTAATTTCAATTCTTCTCCCATAAAAACAAAGAAAACCCTCAAAAGTAGGGACTGAGGGCAATGGCAGTCCCAGCAAAACAAAAGGATAAGAATTTTGACCAATTATAGCTCAAAGAAAGTAAATTTTCCAAAATTAAATTAAAAACACATTATCTCCTCAATTTCTATTGCAACAATTGACCATAGGAGAATGAATTAATAATAGCCTTTTAACTTCTGACTAAATAACATTGCCTTTCAAAGCAAAAATATACTGTTGTTGTTCTTGAAATAAAAATCTTGATACACCATTCTCTGTGTACCTAGTTCATGGAAGTTCCATTTTTTCCTCATCTGTTTTCCTAATTCAAGCATTTATAAGTAGCACACAAAAATCATATACAGAGAGATTCAAATTCTTAAATGTCATATGGTATTTTTTAGAATAGTTTTATTATTAACTCCTGCCTTAAAGATCATTTAAAAAAAATACAAAGATGTAATGTCATGGACAGACAATAATTTTCTACTCTTAGATCTGCAATCCCCTTTTTAAAAAGAAAAAAACCAAACCCATTAAGGCAAACATTTTATTGATAAAAAATCTTATGAGGTTTTTTTTTAATCAGGATTCACTCAAAAAATGCCCTTATTTTGCTGTTAGATTTCATTTATTAGTACACTCTAATCACAGCTATAATGAAAAAGCCATTACCTTTACAACAGTCCATCTGAAAAAAGCACACTATGTAGAAACTTCAGTTTAAAAATCCCTTATTTTAGGAGGGGAAAAAAAAAACAAAAAAAAAACAAAAAAAACAAAAACCAAAAAAAACCACAAAAACCCTACTGCAATTGAAGACTAACTAGAGATTTATTCATGACCCTTAGGTTGACCATAAAGAATATGTATAAAGTTTCCCTCCACGGGTTTGCTTAGCAAAGAAATGTAAATGGAAAGCCTGAGGTACCATTGTAGATAAGCCAACACAAATTCTCCTGAGGTAGAGCCACTTGCATAGTGAGTCGTAATGAGGACAGGACATTGAAACAAGTCTGCAGGGACCCTTGATTCTGGAGATTTCTGTCACTGCTGCAAATCATCTGATAAATGCAAACATTCCTCTGTTGCAAAGCATGGAACTAAAACATATGGAAACATACGTAAAATTAATATATAGAGATAAAATAGATGCATACGTCAGTTTTAACATCAGCAAAGTACAACAAAATGGTGATTATTAAAAGATCAAGCATACCAGAAAAAAATCAGTGTGACATTGAAATAAGAATTAGAATATGGAGAAACTGCTAAAGCTTTAAGGTTGCTGTACCATTAGCATGAGTCAGTTTCCACTGTGTCACAGGATAAAAATGCACCTAGTGCAGTAGGGCTGCTGAAAGGGGCATAGGGAGAAAGGATAAATGAGGCATTAAACTGATATTCAAAGAATCTGGCTTTAATTCTTGGCTTCTCTGTAGATGTCCTCTGTAAATTAAGGCAACTCTTAACTTTTCTGCACTTCTCCATCTGTATCACAGATATCTTGTTTCTCTCTCTCATCCATTATTTTTCTCTTCTACAGATGCATTGTTCCTTCTCTTCCTTGTAATACCCAACGTAATGTGATCTGTCTTGTCTGGAGTACAGTATCATCTGAACAAACCAACATGTGAGAAAAGGAGCTAAGTGGGACATGGCCAGTCAGTAACTATCAACCTCTCAGAAGCCTACTAACCAGATAATATTTGAAATTATATTATTTTTGGCAGTTAATTCACTGAAACTGAAAGTTTCAAGCCCTGGAACTTCATTTCTGTGATTTCCTTCGTGTTACATTAAAAAACAAAAGCTAGCCGCAGGAACCTGGCAAAAAAATTTACATATAAAGCCTTTAGATGTAATCATTTGACACATTATCGTTATCCATTTCCAATTGTAGAGATCATTGTCAAACTAGATTCCATATCTGAAAATTTAGGGATATCTCAGTGTCTGAAGGCCAAGTTACAGAACGGGCATTTCAGTACAGACTCATGATAATATCTGGCACTATGATTGGTTCAAGGTCTAAGCAGACATATAGAAAACAGGAGAAACCATCTCTGGAACTTCAAATTTATT